AAAAAAAGAGAGAGGGAAGGATGAGCAAAGTAAACCGTGAGGGGCTATCGCATATTGCCTTCCCATCAGGGTTATCGCTAGCATCCTTGGTGTTGTCACTCTTTTTTATTTTAGCCATCCTGATAAGTGTGTTGCTGTTGTGTTTTACAGCTTTTGAATTATTTGGGAGATAGATTATTTCTTCAACTACACGGAGCCAAGTAATTGGGAACAACACATTTAAAAAGGATGGAAAAGAAAAGAAAAACTATCCAGTCTTTCTGTAAAGACCCCCAGCTGACTTCCCTGGTCTATATTCAGAAACAACCAAGGTAATGAGGGAAAATGGCAATTAAACTGTTGCTATTAATGAAAAGATATAATGTTTGTTTATGGAGTAGTTCCCATGTAAGTGAGCAATGTCTTAAACCATTAAATTGCTTATCCTAATAAAAATAATTAAGACGTGATTAAGAATATAATAAGCTTACTTTAAAAATTTAGACCTGACAATTGTATTGTAAATAAGCAGCGATGTCGAGGCTTCTGATTGATACTCCTTCCAGATTTTGTAATCTTTATTGGTACAGGAAAATAGATGAAAAGCTCTCTAAATTCATTGGATCTCCTCTACAGTACATAAACAACATAACCAAGCAAATCAACAACCCAAAGGAAATCACCAGACCTTGGATCACTGTTTAGCGACTAAATAATTTGCAAGCTATAGGACAGGGTTGGAGGAAACCCTGCTCCATGTCCCCAGGGGTTCTCAAAAGCATGGTCAGCAGAGAACCAGCTTCAGCAGCATGACAGAGGAAATGCAAATACTTAAACGGAACTTCCCAGGCCCCACAGTCCAATTCAGTGCATCAGAAATCCAGGAAGTGAGGCCCATCAGCCTGTATCTTAAACTTCTCAGGCGATTCAGCTATGAGCTTGTATTTGCGAGCCAGCACTAGAGAAGTACAGTTACCTTGTTAACGTTCCCATCTCACTGCCTAAACAGGAAAGAGATATAGATCATTATGAGTCTGAGCTGCATAGTAAGACCCTGTACAAAACACATTAAAAAATTTAAAAAAGGCCGGCGAGGTAGCTCAGCAGACTAAATGCCTGCTTAGACAAGGGCAGGAACCAGGTTTCAATGCCTGGTATCACATGCCGTGCCAGACCCATCCCTAGGCACGCTGAGCCTGTGACTGAGTCAGGGTGTGGTGGCGCATACCTGTAATCCCTGTGGTGGGGAGGCTGAAAACAGGAGGATCACCACAAATCGAGCTGCCTAGTGAGACCCTGTACAAAACACATTCAAAAAAAGAAAGAAAGAAAGAAAGAAAGAAAGAAAGAAAGAAAGAAAGAAAGATAACATAACATACAAGAATTGGTGGAACCTACCCAGCTGTTCATGGAAAAGTAATCCCAGGGTATGAATTGTGCAGCAATCCAGGAAAGCTACTTTTCCTATAATTAGAGCAGCTCCGAAAAGAATGTCAATCAACAAGAATGAAATAGATTCCAAGCTCGGAGTCTGTCAATAGAGTGGATAAGAAGCCAGATGACCTTAATAATATAATAAAGAAAATAATTTCCATTACTAAGAAGCAAGTAAGGCAACCAGAGACAATAGGAAAGCAGGTATGGTAGCCCACACCTGTAATTCCCTCACTTTAGGAAGCTGAGGCAGAAGGATCACAAGTTCAAATCCAGACTGGGCACTGTAGCAACTTAGTAAGACCCTGTGTCAAAACAAAAAAGAGGGGAGTGTGAAGGCCACCAGTGAAAAAGGAGAGGGAGAGAGCGAAGAGGGGAGTGGTAGGTGAGAAAAACAAAAGAGAACAAGAAGAAAAGAAACAAAAGGACAAATATTCATGTATGAAATTCATGGTCCAAATGGGCAGCAAATCAAAAGGTAGTATGATTTTGATCTTGACTCTAAAATGATCTCCTCATAGAATCAAGAGACAAAACAAGGAAGTCAACTCTGCACACAGGAGTGAGTGTGGGTGTTGTCCTCCTTGACATTGTCCAAGTTCAAATGACAAAAGATGAAAATGGGAGAGTGGAGATGCGGGACAGAGACTGAGCATAGAACAGGGAGTACCAACATCTGTGTCTAGCAGGGAGAAAGCACAAGTTTCAAAGTGGTAGAAGAAAAAGTGTTAGACCTATTATTGAAAAATATAAATAGAAAAAATGAAAATGATAACTATAAAAATGGAGGCAGGAGGAAAGAAATCTTAGTTACTTAACTCCACATCTCTCTTCATAGGGAAACAACAAAGTTTTTAATTGGTGAGTCAAAAAATTACAGCATAAATGTACAGTCAGGAAGCTGAGGCAGGAGGATCACCTTGAGCTCAAGGTCAGGCTGGGCTATATAGTGTGTTCAGGACCAGCCTCAAAAACCTGTTTGAAAAAGAAAATAGTTTATGGGGGGAGCAAAGGGAAAAAGGGAAATCATAACATTGAACAGTTATTAAAAGTTATGGAAAACTTTATTTTTGTTGACGTTCTTGTCACATTATAAGCATTGAATTGAATAAATATGCAGAAGAAACCAGATTGGTTGTCTGTCTGTCTGTCTGTCTGTCTGTCTCTGTCTCTGTCTTTCTGTGTCTGTGTCTGTGTCTGTGTCTCTCTGTGTTGCAGTTTTAGGTACAAATGCTGTGAGATCACGTATTATCATTTAAATGACTCCTTTGCAAAGTTCTTTCACAGGCACCATGTTATTCTCTTTTTTTAAAATTAATTAATTTCTTTGTGTGTGTGTGTGTGTGTGTGTGTGTGTGGCCAGCTCAGCCCACCAGGGGGCGGGGCTGGCTGGCATGTGGTGCTGGGGGATTGAACCACGGTCCCTGTGCTTTGCTAAGCTTGTTCTAAGTAGGTGCTTTAGACCACTGAGTCATCTCACCAGCCCCCACCGTGTTATATTCTACCCCTCATCACTGGGAGAGAAAACCCAACACCAGCACCCTAAAGGAGCAGAGCTTTATTTTGGCTCGTGGTTTTCGACCATGGTCAGCTGGCTCCAAGGCAGGAACCGCATGGCAGAGGAGATTGGCAGCCAGGAAGCCAAGAAAACAAGGAAGAGCCAGGGAGGGAATCACACCCTTGCAGATCCCACCTGGACTGATGCACCAGCGTGCATGATACAGCAGTCATGATGGTGTCACCTTCCAAAAGCAGCCCCTCTGAACACATGAGAGTTGGGGGGGACATTTCAGATCTGCATAGCAATACCTATAACACATCATAACAGTGGGATGTTGGTGTTGTCTCTGTTTTATAGAGGACAGATTAAATACCAAAGCATTACAGGAATATTTGGGATCCCATGACAGCAAGTGAGCAGGCACATAAATCCATTCTGTTGAAGCCACCACACCCACCCTACAGTGCAAATTGCCAGGACATTTTGCTGTAGATTCTATCCTGGCTTTTACATGTCTTGAATTTTTAGCTTTCTGTGTATTTTGTGCTAAAGAGTATTCTAGTGTTTGTTTCTTTTTACAAAACATTTCATGCTTTTTCTTGAGGTTTGAAGAAATATGGGGAAATAATATTTCAGTGGTGAAGAAATCGGAATCTAAAAGCAGTCTAAAATTAAAATATAGGACTTCTCTTGAAGGATTTCCAAGGAATATGCTCACCTTAGTGGACATGGGCTTTCTCTTTGTATATAGTCATAAGTCTATCTTTGTTTTGCTTTTTTTCTGTAGCACAAAAGATTGAGCTCAGCCAGGGGATTTCACTGAGCTGTATCCCCAGCACCTTATTTACTTATTTACTTAGAGACAGGGCCTCACTAAGTCACTAAATTGCCCAGGCTAGGCTCAAACCTGCCAATCTCCTGCCTCAGCCTGCCAGAATTCTGGGATTGCAAATGTTTACTACCATATTGGGGCCAATTTTTGATTTTTAGGCACTAACAAAACCCCAGGAATCCTCTGAGTGACCTAAAAGCGTGGTCAACTTTTTCTTTTGAATTTCTAGAATAATTATTTTGGAAAAAAGAATCTAATGCTACCCAAATACTAAATTCTAGGTGCTGGAGAAATAGCTCAGTAGAAACAAGTGCTTCCCTGGCAAGCACAAGGGCCTGAGTTCAATCCCCAATTCCGCAAAAAAAAAAAAAATAAAATAAAATAAAAAAATAAAAAATAAAAAAATTCTAGGCAACTGGTAGATTCATAACTTTCCTAAGTCACTGGTTCTTGGCACCAATCTGCCACCTCCACCCCTTTCTCCTCCCATTTCTATAAAAATTATCCTGTAAAGGATTGCATTCAGGGGGTGGAAACTCCTTCAGGGGAAGGATGAGCTAGCCATGGATTTCCATGAAAGGGCCCTAATGAAACCTGGCCTCACCCTCTTTCCGAAACAAATCCAAAGACTAGCCCATTATGATCAAAATATTCCATTCAGATGAACTGTGGCTTGTACCAGTTAATATTCGAGCCTTCTTTTAATGTTTTGTTCAGAAGCAGCAAATACAACCATAATCCATAAATTCAACTGTCATTAAGTCTAGTCTCTCTTCTTAGGAGCTAGTACTTTCCTTCGTGGGAAATAAAACTATGTGCCCACTTCAATCTGAGAACACTACCTTATTAAGGATAGGCCTGGTGGCCCTTGGTCCTGTGCTGAGTTAAGACCTCTAAGACCTTGCTCTCAGAGAAGATTGCAGTGTCTAAAATGATTAGACCTCTAAGTGACAACCTAGCATGCAAACCTGCAGCAGAAATAGTTGTGGCTTATAGAGACAGAGCTGCTCAGACCTTTTAAAGAGCAAGGGCTGGGGGCTGCCTTAAGAGAAATCAAGTTACCGAAGATTGATATTGGCATTGGAGTTGGTAGTGTTCCTTAATTAATCACTACTAATTCTGAATCTCTTAAGAAACTGTCATAAATGTGGCCAAAATGAGGCATCCCAGTGTTCACAAAGAAAGGGCAGCTTCTGTCTGACACTGCTATTGTACTTTCGTGTTATTTAATGGTTAATGTGCTGCTCCGTCCTACTAGTTGTCAGCCAAAAATATGAAGACCATTTTTGGTCGACCTTTTAGAAGTTCTTGCATGGTAGCATATTGTCTGGCATACAGGAGCTTCTTAATCCACATTGGCTTAATAGTCTACAGAATAACTAAGGATAAGTGAAATAGTACAGATTATTGTGTATAAATAATAATGTTGTAATTCCTCAAAGATGGCTCTGGGGAAGAACACAACGTGGAAGTCTTAAAACCATTTCACAGACTAAGTGCCATTCATCCAGAGAAACCCTAGGCAAAGAGAGGCTGATCCAGTTCAGAAGGATGCAGAGACAAATGTTTGCATTCAGCGCATGACAGCGCTACTGTGTGCGTTGAAAAAGCAGATGAACCGAGACTCGAAACATCTATCCTTGAAAATCTTTATCATGTTCCCTTAGCAGAAAGAGTAGCTAGTAATTACATAGCATCCCTCCCTCACACAAACTAGATGTTATTAAACCCCAAATTAACTTAATTTGTTTTTATCAGAGCCTTTAAGTACTGGGGTACAGCTCCCACCCTTTTCTGGGTACTGGGGGAATCTTTATCCCATTCGTCTGCCCTTGTTTCTATTTTTACACGTCAGGGTGTGGGTAGATCTTCACCCAATCTCACCAGAAAGATGAGTTTGTTTTTGACACTGTGTGGAGTACAAGAGCAAGTTGCGACTCAGCACACCAGGAGGATGCCAACAGGAACTGTGGTTAACGTTGGCCGTGACTGGCACTTGCTGCAGTTTCTTTTGGTAATTGGTGCAAGCCTGTCAATGGTAGGGCACACCTGTCATCCTAGCACTCTGAGAAGCGGAGGGAGGAGGGTCACAAGTTTGAGCCCACCTTGGACAATTTGGCAATTTATTGAGATCTTTTCTCAAAAAATAAAAAGGGCTGGGGCTGTAGCTCAATGGGAAGGCCCTGGGTTCAGTCCTCTGTATTACCCTCACTGTCACCCCGCAACACACACACACAGAGTCACTAGAGTCACTAGTTCATGAATTTTCTGGTTTGCTTAAAATCATACACTTGGTGTAGCCTTGCCTTCATCTTCATATTAGAGTCAATGTGTGCTTGGAGAATCAAACACTGAACTCAAATTTAAATGCTGGTTTCTTTTTATTGTTATTAGTACATGTTTGCAATACATAATGATTATGTTCATTGTGGGGAACTGGTACACGTATGTAACATACCTCAATTCTTTGTACCTCCCCCTACCCATCGCTCCCTTCCCGCTCCCAATGTTGGTCTAGGTTATTTATTTTTTTTAATTTTTCTGTATTTAGGACAGGGTCTACAGGGCCTACAGGGTCTCACTACATAGATAAGACCCGTAGTAATCCTGTTTTCAGCCTCCCAAGTGCTGGGGTTATAGGAGCGCCACCACACCCAGTCTCAATTGCTGGCTCAGTGTGCCCCGTGGCTGTGGGGCCGGCACAGCACACCGGGGATCGAACCCCAGTCCCTGAGCCTGCCTAAACAGGCGCTTTAGTCCGCTGAGCTATCAAGCCAACCCTGGTCTAGGTTTAATCCAACCACAGGAAATGTGAACCTACTGCCCTCTTTCTCCTATTGTCTGACTGAGGTGGACATTACCCACTGGGGGCTGTTTAGTCCCCTGCTATGTACACTTACCAACTACAGTACCTAGTGTCTTCGTTCCTACTGTAAAAGTAAAAGGGTCCTCATTTCCTTTCCTTCAGTCTCTAGCTAGCCTTGGTGTCCAGAGGTGCTCATCACTATGGCCTCTGCAGTTCTAATACAGCACTGCTGCTTAAGGTACCTACAGCTTTTTTTTTTTTTTTGCCAGCTCAGCCCACCTGAGGGCAGGGCTGGCACAGTATGTGCTGCTGGGGATTGAACCGTGGTCACCTGCACCTTCCTAAGCTTGCTAAGCAGGCACTTTAGACCCCTGAGCTATCTCACTGGCCCCTATCTACGGCCTTTTGACATTCTGTTTTGGTGTATTCATTCTCTATCTCTTTTTCCCCTTCTATTCTCTCTTCCTCCCCCTCCCCCAAGAGAGCTCTGTATTCAAGCTCTGATCTACCCCTCAATAAAAGATGCAGAAAAGTTGGGTAGCTGCTGTGGTTTGGATATGCTTTGAGTGATTCCCAAGAGCTCTTGATTTGAAATTTAATCACCCTTGAAAGGTATTGAAAGGGTAGAAACTTAATCTGACTGTAATAGTGAGAGGTGGAACATTAGGGAAATAATTAGGATCAGATAAGGTCATCAGGATGGAGTATTTGTCATCAAATCCTAGTGACTTTAAAGAAGAGGAGGAATGACTGGGTGACTGGGTCTCACAAACGTATACTCTTGGTCTCCTGGCATGTGATGCTTTTTACCACTTGGGCCTCTACCAGATATGGGCCCTTGAACCTTCAGAACTGTGAGCTAAATATTTTTTTCTTTATAAAATTCTTAAACCCCAGAAATTTTGTTACAGTAACACAAGACAGACAAATACACTAATCATGTGAACTCCAGTTTCTTGCCTCCGTATTTTTGCCTCACTTCGTTTAACATATTGACACAGCCCCACCTCATTTTATAGAAGAAAAGCTGAACTCAAACAAACAGAAAGAAAAGAACTAATAAATGAAGTATTTGATGACCAGAGGAACTACAAAACTTGTCCAAGTTGAAACTATTTGGAAGAAAGAGTCAGGACTGGAATCCAGGGCTCATGGCTCCAAGCCAGTTTATTTTTCTTACTCTGCTGATGCACCCCACATAGCTGATAGGATAAGCTATTGCCAGCTAACCCACAACCAGTCCGTGTCTCAGAAAAGCAGACAGCAGGTAAGTTATGTACTGTATGCAGCCACCTTCTTCTTGGGTATATGACATACTGGGGGGCATGTGCCAGGTCAGAGTTGTTCCAGTTCACTCTCACACTGTAATCCAACCTACCGCCAGCCACTCCTTCCTGTCTTTGTTGAGCTGCCAGCCATCCCAGCAGGCCGACTCCAAGCACATGGGCGCCTGGCCAGCAAGTGACTAACTCCATCTCGTGTGCCCAGACCACATACAAAAGGCAAGCAGCTCCGTTTCTAAACCTTGCTGGACAGGTTGGTTTTAGTAACTTCAAACTACAAATGCGCCTTTGTTTTGTAAATCGAGTAAAGAACGATTGAGAGGGGACAGAAAAAAGGCTCAGCCCTTGTGTGTGATGAGCCAAGGCTACTGGGGCAACAGTGACTCAGCTTAACAGGGCTTCCAACGGTTTTATTTGAGAAAATGTCTCTCACACATGTTTTCATCAACCAACTTACCTCCTACTGCCACTCAACTGGAGGCTCCTGACGGGGAAAAAAGTACTGCTTTAAAATGTTTAAAAAATAATATGATCCCAGTCAGATTCTCCTCAGCCTTTTGGCTATGATCATGTGTAAAAATAAATGTGTATGTAGGCTCAAACTAGAAGGGGAAGTGCAAGCATAAATGTGGTTGTGTTGGAACAACAGGATTTTTTTTTCATTTTTAATGTTATATATAAAAGATAAACACATAGCTAGCATGTATTCATAATAAACATGGTATATATTTATATCCTATATTATCTATATAGTGTATATATTATTATTTTTGTTTTTTTTGAGATGGAATCTTGCTATGTTGTCCAGGCTGGCCCCAAACTCCTAAGCTCAAATGATCCTCCTGCTTCAGCTCTCATGTAGCTGGGACTTATATAATATATTCTTACATTTTTAATTAAAAATTTTAACTAGTATATGTTTCTGTCTTGACAAAATACATCTTTTGGATTTAAATAACTAGAGCTGTAGAGCTTGGTTTTTCAGTGTTTGTGTGTGTCAGCTAAAACTAGGATGTAAATTACTTGAGGGTAGGAACTTCCTCTGGTTTAAAAATGTTTTTTTCTTGTTTTTGGGATAAAGTCTCTCTATGTAGTTCAGGCTGGACTTGAGCTCACTTTGTAGCCTGGCCTGGTCTTGAACTGACCATGATCCTTCTGCCTCAGCCTCCTGAGTGCTGGGATTACAGGCATGCACCACCATGACCAGCCCTAAAAATTTTGTCCCAAATACTTGACCTCAAATACTCCTGGAAAGCGTGTTTAAAACATTAATAGTTGTATCCTTCCCAGAGAGCTGGTTGAATTGTAAAACTTCTGAATTTTTGCCATATTCCTGGATGGTGCTCAGGGATAGGTTGTTAGTATCTCCTGCAGGGCAAAATAGGGTTTGTGTGTATATGTGTGTATGTGTAGTTACACACACACACACACACACACACACGCACGCACGCACGCACATGCATGCACACAGCAGAAGCTCTGGCAGACCTGAGGAGTGAATAATCATGGCCCTCAATTACTTTATAGAACTTAAAAAGCTTATCTGCTGCTTGACTTAAGTTAATATAACACTTACCATTAGTGTAATCTGAAAACTTAATTTTATTGTATTTTTAGCCCCAGCCTAAATTGGTAGCCTCTTAGGGGGATACTGTAATGACTCTCAACTTAGTGGACACCACACTTAGGGGACGCTGAATGCAAAGAACAAATTAATATGAGGTGTGGTAAAAAATCTGGTGACTGTTTAAATTTTTAAAAAACATTACAGTAAAAGACACATTGCTATTAATCCCCCTCAAAAAAAAAATCTATATTTGAACACACTTGTGCCTTCATTCTTGTCATCTCTGAAGCAGTTCACACAGTTTAGGTTTGCTGTAATTTCTGTCAAAGAGAACATTACAACAGGTTCTCTCCTACCTTACTCACTGGATTGGGCACCATGCAACTTCTAGGTCTTTCCTAAAGTCAAAAAGACCATGAAAAGTAAACATTTCAAACTGATTCAGGACTTTGAGGCAGCCATGACAACACTACTAAAGACACCCATGAAAGAATTTCCAGAACTGCTTCAGACTGACGAGGAAGTGTGTTAGAAGGGAAGAAGACTCTAAGGAGGATCCATAGTAATATGTCTTTTCCTATAATATTTTTTAAAATGTTATACTTTTACTATACTTTAATCACTGTACATATTTCACTTACTTAACATGTAAAACCTAATCTTGTGCCTGTACCTTGCCCAGAATGGAAGAAAATTAGAATAATTCTCCCAG